ACTGTTGTGTGGAGCATGTTATGGAGGAGGAGGCTGAATTCAGGGAGATTCAGATAGTATTTATTAGCTGGGCACTTTTGGTGTTGTGTGGGAGTGTCCCACAAGTAACAGAGGACATTTACATCCCTGCCCCTATACCTAATGCAAGAAGCAACCCATATTCATTGGTCAGGGCAGTGAGGCACCCCCCACAATTCCAAACATTTCCTGCAGGGAGGGGAAGATATTACCACTCCTATCTAAGAAGAACTGAAGTTGGCTACTGTAACAATCTAGGCTTTAGTTTCTAGAGTGAAGAGATATATATCCCAGCACATATACATAACATCCATTAGGATATGGGAAGGACACATTGCAACTTTGATTCCTGTTTATTTTGTGTTTTAAAAATAAGAACTTGACTTTGGTGTCCTCACTTGGCCTTTGTCAGCTGATCTCTTGTGAGGTACAGTACTGAATGTGGTCAGAGGGAAGAGTGGCAGTGTCATGGGGATGTTGATTGGCTGTCAGTCCTGATTCACATGTTTGTTTTCAGTGCATTGTTAGGATTGCAATCTGTGTTCTTGGTTAATGGAGATATGGATGCTATTACTTGTTTTTAAATAAAGCTATTTTATAAAATGAACAGGTAGCTAAAAGATCCCTGTACAGAAACCACAGATTGAAAATAATATTAATAATACAAACACAAGAAAAAAAATGGAAATGGCAGTTAATACTACTAGTCAACAACAATCTGAGGTAAAATATAATGACTTCATGATATGTGGCAAGAAGCCAAAAAATTGAAATTATTAAGGAGATATTTGAGATATGCATTTGCCTATTCTTTTGTTAAACATGACTCTGACCCTAAATATATGTCATATCTTAAAATATCACCTGGTGAAAATATGAAGCCATAATTATTAAATTAACATTAAAATATTATTTATTTAATCTTTATCACACTCTTAGAACTATCTTTAATATACTGTGTAAATACAGTAGTGCATATATATGTTTTGTTTAAAAATGCAGATCATACAGGTGCATGCTGAAGCATTTTCTTACTGATAGAGAAGCACTGGTCTAGCCAGTTAGTGGAAATAGAGACAATTGGATGTATTGTCTTTGAGAAGTGTGTGCAAGGAAGAAATGGTGGAACTTTGTAATTGATCAGATGAGGCGGGAATTAGGGAGACATTGTGTCATGGTTGACTGCCAGATTTGCAGCAAGAACTAGGTGGATGGTGGAACCATTTTGGGGAATTAGATTTGGGAGGCAAAGATTCTGAGTTTGGGTTTAGACATACTAAGTTTGGAGTACCAGTGAGCTTCCAAGTGAGTAGGGAGTTAAATACTCCACTGTCAACATCAGAAGAGAGAACTGGATTAGAGATATTGTTTGCTAGTAATCTCCATATAAATGATAACAAAAGGCATGGACATGACTAATGTCACCAGGGGAGAAAATACCTAGTGAATGGCGAAGAGGGCTAAGAATCAGGCACTGAGATCCATACTTCAAGGTTAGGATGGAAGAGGATTCTGTATAGGAAAAGGAAGGGGAAAAAATGGCCAGAGAATTAGAAGGAAAACAAGGAAAGTAGGTCATTATGGAACTAAAGGAAAGGCAGGGGGAAGTGGTCAGTTATGCCAAGTGATGCTGAAAATTCATGTTAAACGAGGGCTCAGTGTATCCCTAGGACTTCACAGAGGGAGGTTATCAGTAACCTTTCAGAGTGCTGTTTGGAGATTTAAAACATCCAAGGTAGAGATCTGATATGAAAGGGCTTACTGCCTGAGGGAAGAAGAGGACATGAAACCAACTAACTGTAGTTTTTAAATTCCAGAATAATACTTTCTTTCTGATTATAAAAGCTCCCTTTTTAATTCTGGAAAAATGAGGAAATATAGAAACAAATGAAGACAAAATGATCCCCAATTTCTCAACTGATGTCAACTAATATTTATGTTAATCTATTGACATTTCCCTCATATACTTATTTATACAGATACATTTATACTAGTTGTACTCCTTATTTCAGTAGGTGTAGATTAAACCGCAGTGATCTGGGTTTTTTTGTTTGGTTTTGTTTTGTTTTGGTTTTTTTGGCAGCTAGCCAGTACAGGGATCCAAACCCTTGACCTTGGTGTTACAACACCACGCTGTAATCGACTGAGCTAACCAGACAGCACATATTAATCTTATTATTCTGTTTTCTTTCCCTTACATTTTCTGTTGCCTTTAAATAGTTTCGGAAGTATGATCTTTTTTAACAGCTAAAAAATATTTCCTCATCTGGTTATATCAAAATGAACATATCCATTAACTTTGACTGGGCAGGTGAGTTTTTTGTAATATTTCACCTTTATAAATAATTCTGTGTAAGCATCCTGTATATAAATTTTTGAGTAGGAGATACTCAAATAGGTGGTACTCCTGGTTCTTGAAGGCTTGCTCTCTCTCTTTCTATCCAAGATGCTTTTGAGGAAGTACTGCTCAGTACCAGCCAGTCACACTCTATTAGCATCATTTTGTGAATTTTTATGCACATTCTAACCACCCTTGTAAAATTGTGTCTGTATATGTGTGTGTGTTATTTTTCTGTAAGTGTATTTCTTAAGTATAGTATGTGTTTGCATTTTGCTTTTTACCCTAATTTCAGTCTTATCTTTTAATAGGGTACTTCATACTTTTATATCAATTATCATAATTCACATGTCTTATAGTCAGGCATCATATTGTATGCTCTTTCGTGTTTCCTGGGTCTTTCCTTTTTTTCCCCTGATTTTTACTATGCTGACTTGACTTTGTTTTTCAGTGGCTTTAAAGGTATAAAGTCTGTTTTTAATCATGATTACAAAGTTTATCCGTACAAGGTATTCCAAAAGAAAAATGTCATTTCTGGAGACTGATTGGATGCATTGTATTTGTTCTGGGAAATTATCCTATTTGCTTGCAAAATTCACTTGTGTATTCCAGGGGACTGCCACTCTTTAGAATAGCTGTGTTCTCTTTCAAACCCACTGTGATGGTTGGGTTTTGGCTCTCTCCTATTGACATTAGTCTATTATTTCCCATCTGCTGGTGCTACTTCTTGCTGGAGAAGATGAATGAGAAAAAATAAGCACTAACATTTATTGAGTGCCTGAAATATAACATCTGTTTACATAGAGTATCTGATTTAATCTTTATAATCCTGTGAGGATTATCATTTTATCATTATTGTCATTTTTACAGGTGAGGGAACTGAAGTTAGAGTCCATTTAAAATTGCTTAGTAAGGGATAGAGTCAGAATTCAAACTCAAGTTGTGGATTTCTTTAGTATTCTGCAACAAATACTTACTGAGTGCTTACTCTACAGACACTGCCTTATTCCTTAAGATACATGAGTGAATGAAACATACAAAGATCCCTGCCCTCATGGAGCTGAGACTCTAGAATAAAGGGAGACAAACAGTAAACATTGCAGTAGAGAAATTAACTACAGTGTATCAGTAGGTGACATGTACTGTGTAAAGAATGAATCTGAGCTGAGTAAAGGAAATCCAGAGAAGATGGCAGGTTTCAGTTTTAAATTGAAAGTCAGGGCAGGCTTTCTTGAAAGTGATCTGGCTCTAAAGCTTATTTCCTTTCTACCACACTATGCTGCTTCTTATGTGTGAATCAAAATGCATTACCATTGGATTACCCCCCACTTCTAACCAGATTAAAGGCCTATGCCTTTCTGATTCTCTTGTTGCTGTGAATGTAAATCCTCCTTCTCCCATAAAGAGAGAGAGCAAAATTTTTATTTGCTTTAGTATTTTCACAAGCCTCACCTCATTTTTAACTCTGGCTTTCTTTGCAGTGTTTTTACAAGCCATTTCCTCTCTCGTTATATTTATTATGTTTTTCATGGTGTTTTCACATTATTTAAGTATGCCTTACTTTACAATGAATGTGCTTTTCGAGAGTTTCATATAAATGGAATTTTTATGAATAATACTAAACTTTCAATTCCATTTCATTTCTTTTATAACTTGAATAATCATGCCTTACATCTTCAGTGTTAATTTAGTAGTTTGAATTATTGGGCTGTTTAATGTATATGTTGAGCCAGGTGGCAGTGCGACAGAGTTAAATGAAGTGAACTTGTTTCATTCCTTAAAACTAAAGGACGAGACAAATCATCAGCAAATCTCTTAGGTGCCAATCCGCAAATACCAGGAGCCAAGGGAAATAACCAGGAATGTCTTCAAGTGATGCTACCAGAAAGGGAATTATGATCTGGTTGGCACAGGGGAACCTGTCGGGATAAATCAAATGACTGAAATGTCAATACTGAGGAATGCAATCTGTGAAGAGAGGACAAAGAGGTGGGAAAAGGAGGGCTTGCACTATAGATCACAAAGAGTTGAACTTGCAATGAAATATAGATAGATGATAAAGGAAGTAGCAACACTGAAGCTTTATGAGTTAAGGTAAAAAAAAAATATATATATATATATATATGAAATAAAGAAATGGAATAGTGGGTAATAAATTTCCACTTATGGTACTTAAAGTAATCTTAACCTTTTATTTCACAAGTGGGAATATATTGAAGGGATCCTGGTGAGAAATGTCTTGTGCCATTTATGCCATATAGAGAGATACCATCTAGACCATAAAGCATTTTGCTTAAAAGGTTTAATATGGAATTGTAAATACACTCTATTATGATAAGAAAAGTGTTGTTTCCAGGGAGTTGTTTCTCTAGAGATGTTTAAATTCAGCAGCTGAGGAGAGGAGAGGGTGATTGGGATACAAAGGACACAAATTAAATGCAGGTAACACTTGGGAACTATAATTTTCTTTGTCCATTAGTTTGGGTATTAAATTTCATTTATTCCAAGAGCAATTTTTGTTCTTATGCCTGTTAGTACATACTTGATAGCAGGGATTTGCATAATGTATATTGTATAAATGATAAGTTGGTATTTCTTCAGGTTTTTCACTATAATATGGGTGGTATCTTTGGGTCTTTTCTAGGTTTGTGACTTGGCTTTTAGCCTGAAGAAAATGCTGATCCGACACAAGATGACTCATAATCCCAATCGTCCACTGGCAGAATGCCAGTTTTGCCATAAGAAGTTTACAAGGAATGACTACCTCAAAGTGCACATGGACAATATCCATGGTGTAGCTGACAGCTAATGGTAGCTGTAAAGGAATTAAACCATTCAGAAGAGCTTCTAATATGAATACCAGATTTTTCTCACCTGATCAGCATAACAGAAGTAGCCAAAAGTAATTTACTAGTCTCACAGTTTTTATTTGCCTACCTTTATAGTCTGTAGAAACACATACAAAAAAAAAGGAAAAATCTTACTTTTACCAAGAAATGATACAAATGGAAAAAAAAATCACTCCAGCCTTGCAAAATACTACTTGTGTTCTGTTTTATAAAAATAGAGAAAGAATTCATGGCTCTCTTTCTTGGCCATCCTTCTGTAATGAAGTTTTTTAACACAGTTCCCCATTAGGCATTTTAATTTTATTGTTATCTTTTGTGTATGTGTCTGTGTGTGTGTGCGCGCACTTGCAAATGCTGATTATCACAGCTGATCATTACTACTTTAGACAGAAAGAAATCGAGATATCCAACTATTTTTTTGCAGGATAAGAGCAATAGTTTTCAAAGTCTCAAACATAATAAGAAGGTAAATATTGCAATTTTTTGAAACAGACCAAGAGTTTATCTTATTTAATAAGTCCATACAACAAATGAGTTTAAAATGAAGAGATTGTGAGAACTAAAATATCTATTTAAAATATTGTTCATTTCAGAGAATCCTCAGGAAACTTATCATTCAGATGCATTCATGGTTTAGGATACTTTTATAAGATCTAGACAGAAATACCCATGACATTTAAATACTCATCAAACTGACCCTCCTGAGTTTATACTGGTTATCTTTAGAAATTAATAATATACAAATATATATAAAAATAAAAACAGAATAGGTTCTCCATATTTGTTGACGGACAGAGCAGCAGAACAATAGTGACATTACCACATCGGTTATGATGAATGTACCTTCACCCTCTCATTCCATAAAAGCCCAGAGAACACATTAGTGCAGATGTAATAGAGTCCTCAGAGCATTAACATTCCATTTTGCAAAAGACGTTTTCCAGAATCTTGGCAGTAGGTGATTCTGAAACACTTTTGTATTACCCTCAATCATCCCATATAATTAGGAATCCAGAATAAGAATACAAACCTGGCAGTTGTTATGACTGAAATTGTCACTGATACTTAAGGGAAATTGAAGCAAGAAACATAATTTCTTCCTTTAGGTTATATCTCAGTGAAATACTTTACAGCAGCATACAATGCACAGCTTGTTTGGGAAATGATGATATAATGTAATAGTGATGTCAAAATAACCTAGAGGAACCAAAGCCCAGAAAAACATTAAAATGAAGCCCAAATCATGAACCTCTTTAATTGGAACACATTCAAAAAAGAAGTATAATTTTAAGGAAGTTATTTGGTTATAATAAATTAAGGAGAAAGGTTATCTGAAGACACTATTGTTTGACTGCAGGAATCTCATTTTAGAATTATAATCATGCCCAGTTTCAAAGTTTTAAAAAGAAACATAAAGATTCAGTACAGACATATAAACTCTGTAAACATACTAAATTTGAAACTCACCAGAGATAACTTTTTAAAACATAAATCCTAGAATTATAATTTAGAAGACATCTGAGTATGGTTATATGTAGCATTTTGTATCTGAAATTATAGACTGTATTTTATAAGAATAAATTTTGGCCTTGTTTCTCACTATACCATTTGTTTCAACAATATATTTTTAGATTTAAAGTGTTTTCAGTTTAACACGATAGTGTGCTTAATATCATTTGAATATAAAAGGACAGTTGTAAAATTTGGTAGTGTGTACTATTTAAACACATCCTGCTTATTCTGCTGCATTCTGCCTTCTCTATATGGGATGCTTCATATCCCAATTATGTGATGAAATTTGAAAGGAGGCCAAATACCAATTTTGTGTAATCTCAGTGAGTCACAATTCACAGAGCTGCTGGGGAAATTACCATGGAAATCAGTGTCACCATGCCGCGGAGTAAACCGACAAGGAAGAGCTGCTGAGCCCCATCCTGCCGAGGGTTTATGGACAAGGAAATCTGTAGAAAATGGTGTAGAAGGACCGACTGGTACACCATCCTCGCCTTTCAAAGTGTGAAACCTAAACAAGTCCTTAGAAGACTATTTGTATGTTGCAACCTTTTATCCAAAAGGTGATTATTTATAAATAGTGTCAGATATATTAGCATTTGCGTGCCACAACTTTTAAATTGCTCAGCAATAACAAAAAGACGAGAATTTTTTAGGCTTGATTGACAAATTAAAAACATAAATATATAGCCATAGAAGAAAAGTCTTACAGGCAAGCTGGAGTGCAGGTACCGTCTTTGATTGTCTTTCTCTTCTTTCCTGTTATGAAAGATTTTGGCTCAGGAACTTTCTCAGGAAAAGGCCAACCTCCCAAGTGCCTATGAAGTTATGGCTAAGTAATTTTAAGAGGTATTCAATAATGTGGGTAGGCTGAGATATCCCTTTATAAGGACTATCTTTTTTGTATATTAACATTCATGGTATTTGTGTATCTTGAGTTTCTTCTTGTTTCACAATCACTGGCTTGTATTTTCCTTTCCTTTCCTTCTTTCTCTCTCACACACACACACTCTCACACACTCACTGCCTTGCACATGCGTGCACATGCTTTGTTTCACAATCACTGGCTTGTATTTTCCTTTCCTTTCCTTCTTTCTCTCTCACACACACATACTCTCACACACTCACTGCCTTGCACATGCGTGCACATGCTTTTTTTTTCTAGTTATTATTGGCTATATAAAAGCCTTTATTGACTAATCATAATCAGCAATTGCAGCATGAAAGTATTCATCACTGATTTTTTCTTGGGGTTAAACAGGATAGTTAAAATTCTACTTTCAAGAGACATATCTCTTACAACCTCTGCGAGTGTTTGTGTCTGTCTGTCTGAAGAGGATCACTTTTATGCCGAGCTTATACATGCAAGTACATTGCTTTACTCAAAGCTCTTCTAACCTACTGCAGCCAACTCCTTGGATGAGTGTGAACATGGATTACAGGTCTAAATTTGTGCATTAGATTTTATGTGCTGCTACCTCTCCCAAAGATGGAAGGAAAGGAGGATAGGTGCTAGAAATATTTTTTCCTTCACAGTTCTAAATGTTGCTTATGAAAATTCATCTTGGGTTTGTGAGTATATGGAGGTAGGTAGGTAGGAGGAAATGTGCCTCTTTAAAATCCTAAGATTTTATCCTTAATATTGAGGTTTATTTGCATGTATATAAATGGAGCATTTGTAAAGATAAGAGAGCTCCAATGGCATTATTTTATTATAAATCTATAATAAATTTACATAAATCACTTTCAGACTTGGTGTTACATTTTCTTTTACTGTAGAACTATAGTTAGTACAGTTCTGTAGTAAAATACAAATGAATGTTAAATTTAAAGTTGTTGTTGATAAAAGAAGGAATTGTAATTATCATTACCCCCAGGCCTCATGTTTTAATAGTTTGATCTGGAAAGTATCTCTGAAGTTGCACCAAGGTCGTCTCAGGGCAGTAAGAGAGAACACCTTCCTTACCTCTCATCTCATTCCTGGTCATACATAGAACAAGAACAACATGTGAAAGGAACATCACTTAAGAATCAATGAAACCTGACATGTAGTAGCATATCTGAGCAAAAACATCTCTGATGTTCACAAATATAATTTAAGGTTAATAAAAGTTATGACTAATGTTTTAGATATTCCAGTTAGGTGGTTTTAAATCATTTTGGTGTTGCCCCAATCTTGTGAGGTTTCCCTGATATGAAAAAATTGTCAGGTAGTGGGTTTAGAAATCATGCATGCACTTAACTTTGATTTGTCAGAATCAGCTGAGGCACCCATTCTTTGGAGCTGACTTGTAGCTTTGGCTAGCTTGGGCATAAAACTGTGTTATCACCCCACGTTGTTAATTTGTTGTAAAACAATAAAAAATCAACTCTGGAGCCCCACTGTGGGCCATGTCAAATATTCTAGATTTCCCAGGCCCAAGATAGTATGGGATACAACATCTATTTTATACTGTATTAGTGCTGCTGACCCAGTGTTCTAGTTGCTTAACATGATACTGAAACAAATGTTTATATTTAGTTAAAAATACATAGTATTTAGTTACCTTAAATAAAATATATTTAATTATCTGAGAAGTACTTGATAGCATATTTAGCTGCCTAACCAAGAAAACTTTACCCATTTAGAATAAGTTTTATTCCTTACCCATGCTACCTTGGCATATTATATGGCAGGAGGAAACTAAGATTTTAAATAATGTCTGTAATTTATATGCTTAAAATTGAGAAAAGATATAAGACCACTGAAGGTTCATCATCTAAATTACTGCAAAGAGTTTAAAGGGAATATCACTGTTGCTGACAAGAAAAACTGTTGACTCAGCCAAGAATTAATTAAATACAAAATTCAAAAAATATCCATTTGAACCTGATCCCCAGCCTGGGCAAGTCCATGCTGACCAGAGAGGCACCCCCCGGAGAGGCCCAAGGCCTGAGATCCACAGTGACCATGCACCCCGAGGCACCAGTGCAACCAGGCAGGTAGGCCCGTCCTGCTGCCACCACCAGACCCCATCCTCATCCCGGGTGAGTGTGCACTGACCAGAGAGGCACACACTGGAGAGGCCTGAGACCTGCAGCAACCATGCACCCCGGGTGCCAGCATGACCATGGAGGTAGGTCCCGCCTGCTGCCACCACCGGACCCCCCCCAGCCCAGGTGAGTGGGCACTGACCAGAGAGGCCCAAAGCTTCCACCCACAGGCACTAAAGCAGCTGTACCAAATTGGCAGTCCCGGCAGGATCCTAGCCAGACAATAGTGTCAAACCAGTGGACCGTGAAATCCCTTGCCACAATGACTAAAAACCAAAGGAAAGATACTAGAAATGTGAAAAATCAAGAAAGTACACCACCAAAGGGTAATAACTCTCAAATTCTAGATCCGGTAGAACAAGAAGCCCTTGAAATGTCTGAAAATTTCGAGTGATAATTCTAAGGAAACTAAATGAGTCACAGGAAAACTCAGCTAGACAACATGATGATATGAGGAAAAGTATACAGGACCCTGAAGACTTCATTCAGCTAAATAAAAAACAACAGAGAGTTTAACCAGCAGGCTTGCAGAAGAGAGAACTTCTGACCTTGAAGATGGGCTGTTTGAAATAAGGCAGACAAAAAGAAAAAGAATTAAGGGGCCGGCCTGGTGGCGCACTGCTAGAGTGCGCT